TAAATTTTCCATAAATGCTTAAATATATGATGATTTTTTATTACATTTCATTAAATATATATTTAGTGTTTTCAAAATTTTTGGAAAGTATATAATTAATATTAAATATGTTTACATATGTTTAATTTTGAATTTAATTTTCCACTTTTTATGGTAACAAACTTAATATGGTTTCCATAAATATAGATAATTCATAATTGTGGTTTTTATTTTTTATTTATTTAACTATATTTTTTGCTGTCTTTAAATGTGTTTGGCAATAGGTTTGCAATCACATTTTTCTAATATTTTTTTTTCAGGTTTGTTTGGCAACAAAGACTAAAAATGATCCCCAATTAATAGTATAGATTTGAAGAAACAGTCAATCTTTTTTTTTTTTTGTGAAAATAAGAAAAGAAAAACATAAAGCTATTCTAGTTTTCCTTTTCTAACAAAGCAATAATTCTACTTTCATTTGAACCATGAGTTTATTTGAAGACAAAAAATCGTTCATATATATATTTCGAGTCAGATCGATAGAAAGTGTTTCTAGATCCACCACTAACTATTTCAATGGTTTTGCTTTGATTTGTAACTCTTAATATGTACATATGTTTTTTTACTTAATCAAAAAATTTCACATTATATTTCAACAAATATATCTTTAGTCCCTCCTCCATCTTAATGAATATCAGTTTAAATGGATTTTTTGAAAACTCTTTCAATCTGTCTTCAAATATCTTGAAATCTTTTCACTACATTGTTTGATAACCCTTATGTAACTCGCTCATCGGTTAAGTTACTTGCGAACTCGGAAACCTAACCAACCTTGTTAACCTAATACACGAAAATAGTTTTACTGGTCCAAACTGCTATGAATACACAAACCCAAAAAAACAAATATGGTATTGTCTTATGTAGACAGTACTTGAAACCCAACCTTCTCAGTCCATCCTTAGCCAAATGAGCCTAAGAAATCCATTTTCGTGAGTCTTATCTATAAGAAGCAAAGAGTGTTACGTTATTAAGAAAAGTGAGTAGAAAAGCTCGCACGTTTATGTTGTTGTTGTGATCCATGCACACCAGCGACCCATGGACACGTATTAAGGCCGCTACGTTATGTCATTTTCCAAATCAATTACACATAAATATTTGGGACCAATCTTAAAAATAAAAATAAAAAAAACTATTTGGGACCAATCTTTAACCCAAAAAAAAAACAAAAAAAAAATTGGGACCAACTACAACTTGTTTGTTGTGTTTGTGTGTAATGGGCCAAGCTAACTCATTCATTTTTATAACAAGAAAGAATTGTGTTATTATCTTCATACAATAAAATGTTAATTAGAGAAAAGATCTTAGCAATGGCGTTATACACTAAATTACTATTTCATAGTCGTTACATTACAAAAATGATAAATAGCAAAATCTTAACTCGATCAATCATATGTCCGTCCTCTTCTTAATTAAGTTCGGTACGTAAGCCATTGTTCAAGAAAGCTTATATCGAATCACAACATTTATATACACTATCCGAGACTCTTATCTAAAAATTGGCCAAAAACACACCAACATTGTTTGAAAACAGTAAATCGCTTGTATGCCAAAAAATAGCAATCAAGATTTTTTTGTATTTATATAAAAAATTATAATAGTTAGATAAGGTTTGAATATCGCAAATATTTGTATATATTAACATATATAATATAACTCATAAAATAAATTTCAACATGTGATAAATTAACATGTATGTTCTCATTTTTTTAGTATATAAGGACATACAATTGGAATGACTCCAATTATCACTGGTTCCATTACCAAAGCAATCATCAACTTTACAATTTCAATATGTGGAAGATTGGCCAGAGAGGAAAACAATATGTCCAGAGACTCATTTCAGCACAATTCACGACCTTGCGGTCCTTACCAACTTCTTTGGTCGAGACAGGGCAGAATCGTGTCATTGATGCCTCTTTAACTCTCATCCGTGAAAGAGCAAAACTCAAAGTATACAATGTTTTTTTTTTTTTTTTTTGGATATGTCAAAATATACACTTCATATCATTTTATTTTCTTGATGTTATATGAATAATTAAATAAAGTATTAATGTATATATTGTATAGGGAGAGTTAGTGCGACTCATAGGAGGAGCAAAAGCTACAACAGCTCTTCTTGGAGTACCACTTGGTCACAACTCTTCTTACCTTGAAGGTCCAGCCTTGGCTCCTCCTCATGTAAGAGAGGCTATTTGGTGTGGTAGCACAAACTCCACTACTGAAGAAGGTAGCATGAGTTTTTATGAATTAACCAATCTAGATGGTAGTTATATACTTATTATTATTCAAGATTTAGTTTATAGAGTCATGGATCGACCATTATTACACATGTTATGTTTGGTTCACTTGCTTGTCCTCAATTTTAACTTGTGGGATTAAATATTGTAGGGATGGAGCTAAAAGATCCACGGATTCTAAGTGATGTTGGGGATATTCCGGTACAAGAGATTAGAGAAATGGGTGTAGATGACGAAAGACTGATGAATGTAGTAAGTGATTCAGTAAAGCTGGTGATGGAACAGGTAAGCTCTTTAACCATTAGATCTAGTCTTATTCTAACCACCTTAACCAATAAGTTTCCGATGTGCAAATCTTTGGAGAAGTCTTTTTTTGGACACATTTCTTGGTTAAGGCCAATGAAGTAGCTAAGATTTTGTTTTTAATGTCTTAGGAACCATTGCGTCCGCTGGTCATAGGTGGAGACCATTCTATATCTTATCCTGTTGTGAGAGCCGTGTCCGAGAAGCTTGGAGGACCTGTGGACATACTTCATCTTGATGCTCATCCAGATATATATGACCGTTTCGAAGGAAATTATTACTCCCATGCATCTTCTTTTGCACGTATTATGGAAGGTGGCTATGCCCGGAGGCTTTTACAGGTTGGTCCAATATCTTTTTTCTTATAGACATGGTAATGTCTAGAAAAGTTAATCCTAATTAAGGAGAAAGCCCAAATTTTATTGTAGGTTGGGATCAGATCAATAAACAAGGAAGGAAGGGAACAAGGCAAAAGGTTTGGAGTAGAACAATATGAGATGCGAAACTTCTCAAAAGATCGCCAAATGTTAGAGAATCTGGTACATATCTATCTATTACTAAGACATAAGTAATAGAGTTCAGTTTGGCTCAGTTCAACTTTAATTTGAGAACTTTGATTCAGGATCTAATTATATACACTCCATATGGGTAAAAAGAGCCATTATCAACCTGTACAAATTGGAAAGTGTAATTTTTTACCGCAACTTTGATATAGTGATTTCTACCCGAATTAAATATTTTATCAAATAAACTACTTAAACTATCAGATTTTTGTCGAAAACAACATTGACCGAAATTGTGTTGCTCAACTATGTCGAGTCATATGCCATATAAATAGTTTTTGCTGAGTCATATGCCAAGTATATAAATTCTGTTCAGTCAGATGCCACATGCCAAAAATTGATTTTTTTCTTTTATTTAAATTTTTTTAATTAAATTTAAAACAAATCCGTTATTTTACTATTTTGTTATAAAAACATATTTAATATATAGCCCTTTTCTTTTGTGTATTTGGTACATATTAAGTCATACATTGAATTTGGTTTGTACAGAAACTAGGGGAAGGAGTGAAGGGTGTGTATATCTCGATCGATGTTGACTGTCTTGATCCCGGATTTGCTCACGGAGTATCCCACTTTGAACCGGGAGGCCTTTCTTTCCGAGACGTCCTTAACATTCTACACAACCTTCAGGGAGATTTGGTTGGGGCTGATGTTGTTGAATACAACCCGCAGCGGGATACCGCGGACGACATGACGGCAATGGTCGCGGCTAAGTTTGTTAGAGAGGTAGCTGCAAAAATGTCCAAATGAATCTGAATGGTATTAAAGAGTTTGTAGTTTGTTTATGCTTTTGTGTTTCGTCATGTAAGCTTGTTATATATATGTGATAAATAAATGTGGTCTAATACGCGGAGCATTCAAAAAAATCAATATGAACTGAGTCTTATAGACTGAAATAGTAATACTGATCCGTTGTTAAATAAAATTCATTGTAAAGCATCGTAAATCGTTTAACATATTTATAGAGAGACTTGTGGTTTTATTAATGAATTAGCTAATTATGCTTTTTCATTACCTTAGGAACCAACTCAACTTTGCAACCCCAGCATAGTGTTGAAATGACATATCCATAAAGACGATATTGAAGTATAATATCTACTAGCCCTGGGCAAAATATTCGTTAGATTCGATTCGTTTCGATATTCGTTTCAATTCGATTCGAAAAATACAAATATCTATAAGATGTTGAAGCGAAACAAATATGAAAATATAGTATTCGTAAAAACCGAAGCAAATAACAGATATTGAATTTTTTAGTGTCGAATATCCGCTACGTTTCGTATATTATATATATATATATATTTATATGTATAAATATAAATCATTATATAATATATATAATACATGTATTATAGATTTAGGTTTATATCTAATAGGCTTATTATTCTTATTGCTATATTTTGGCTTGTTGGGCTTTTTGCTAAATGTTACTCTTAAACAAATAAAACTTTATTAAAAAAATTAATATAAAAAAAAGTTATATGGTTTTTTTTTGCTAAATGTTGCTAAATATATTACATGTTTTTAGTTTAAAAAAAATTATATGGGTCGAAGCGAAGCGAAGCAAAGCAAATAGTTCGCCAATATTACGAAAAATACTCGAATATTACGAAAAATACTCGAATATTCGAACTTCCGAATACTCGAAAATTTACGAATCGAAGCAAATACCAAAATCAACTATTCAGTCGAAGCGAAGCGAATCACAAATATTACAGATTTTCCGAATATTCGCTTCGTGCCCAGGGCTAATATCTACATGATCAAACACCTCCGATTTGATTCATAAAGTAATTTAAAGGTCGTGAATACAACGTATTGTTCAATGATAGTTGCGAAACGAGGAACCTGTTAATCCGATCATGGTCACTTCGGGTCTGCCACGGGTGCAGGGCCGGTCCAGCATAATATGAGGCCCAATACAAAAAACAAATTTACTGAATTTTATAAGACCAAATCTAAAAAATTCATAAACTATGGTCTGTTTTTTGCAATACCAAATAAATAAAATTAAAAAGGTGAAAAACAATCTTAAACATTCACAAAATTTGGGGCCTATAATTGCAATATAATTTGTTTTTGGGGCCTAAATTTGTTAGTAAAAAAATTCAAAAAAGCTGTAGGCCCAATACTAATGTATCAAAAAAATGGGTCGCGGGCTGGGCCGGCATGGGTGCCTCATGGAAAAAGTGTCCAACTCCCAAAGTTAAAGACTTCAATACTGAAACGATCCATCCCGTTTTCCAACTTTTTAATTCATCAATATTAACCCCATAAAATAATCTTAACCGACAAATTAAACCAAACATGCAATCAAACAACGGAACTCAATTAACCCAACTTCAATAAATCCAATTAGAATACTAAACCAGAAATCAACCAACAAATCTCCATAAACCAAATTAAACTAGCATTCCTAAGCATTCTTCTCATCCGTGGTTCCATAAATAAAATAACAAAACATTAAAACCCAAACAGCGACTCTAGATCATCGCCCTCTTCCTCGCCTTGATTCCACGATCACAATTTATCATTACCTGCATCACAGAAACAATGAGATGCGTGACTATTATCACAAATACTCAGTGAAGTGGCCCTTCCTATTTGAGTTCAAAAGCATTACATATATGTTTCTTAATTTGACATGAATAATTTGTTTGTATGTTATTGTGTAATTGAATAAACTTTTTTTCAGAACAAATATCTTAAAAAAAATTAGTAGTGTATTATTTGATATTTCACCTAAAATATTTAAAACTTAATACTCTAAAGTTTCAATATTTATAGTACTTTGATTTTTTTTTTTAAATTTAATATTATAATATTTAAATTTTTTTGAAAGTTTTAATTTGCTCAAATATAGAACCGAGTTTAACCGAATAAAAATTTTAAATTTTGGACAGTTGAGAAATCAAACTTCCGGTTTATTCGTAGGTTGAATATATCAGTCCTATTTATAATGTTTTTTTTTGGTAGGATCCTATTTATAATGATTTTTTTTTGAACAACTATTTATAATGATTATGAACCATTTTCTAAACTTTTCTAGCCGATGTAGGACGTTTTACATACCTCTTTTTTTAATCGATTGAGATTTATATGTCCGTTTTAAATAATTCAAATGACAACATATGCGGAAAAAAATTTCTAGTTTTATTTATTCATATTTTTAATGTAATAAAATAAATAAAATATAAACATGATCATAAGAATGTAAGAGGAGAATAATAATTATTTTTAATATATTATATTAAATTAGTTAGAGATATTTTAGAAAAATCAAAACTAAATATGGAAATGATATAATCTGCTGGAGAAATATTCGATTCATTATCTATACCTAATGATCCAAAAATGATATATCCGATTACGTGTATTTTATTTCAATTGAAAATTTTATTGTAAATCTGATGGGTACTTCAGCTTTAATAGTATAGATGGATCGGTTTAATTGCTGTTTTTATAACCCGAATTTACTCTTTATGATCCTATCAATCGAGCAAACAAATGTCTTTAATGGTTTCGTTTTATTTTGTAATATTTTCATAGTTAAATCCTTGAGAATTTTTGAGAAATACCCCATTTGATGTACCCATTTTTAAAAATACCTCTCTTTTTTATCCATTTTCAAAAATATCCGTTTTCAAATATGAAAAATTATAAACTTTTATATGGTTGATAAGGTACATCAAGATCATCATTACTGCTGGGAGATTAAATCCAAATATTTATAAGGTTTTAAGAGGTTCTAAACGGTATTTATAAAATTTTTATAAGGTTTTTAAAAGGTTTACACAATTTTTATAAGGTTTTTAAATGATTTTAAAAAGTTTTTAAAAGGTATTTAAAAAATATATATATAAATTTACACATATATAAAGATAATTTGTGTCGATAAATATAAGCTTACACATATGTTTTTGATAAATTTCAAATTTTATAGTGACTTTTTGATAAAAATTAGAAAGAGGGTATTTTTAAAAAATAGTATTGGAAAAGGGGTATTTTTGAAATTCCCCCTTATATATTTGATATGTAAGATTTCTTTACGTATTACAATAATAACTCCAATAACTTTTGACACTACTATTTTGGAATTTTAAAATTGCTATATCTTTTTATAGAAAATTTGCAAATACAACAAATAAAAAAATAATTAAGAAACTAGCCTAACCAAAACAAATCAAACTATCCTCTCACATCTGTCGCAATAACATTTGCAAGGCATTTGCGTGGGAACTGTGATGTATAAAGTTTTAGGGTAAATGGTTTAGGGTAAAGGGTTTAGGGTAAAGGGTTTAAGGTTTTAAGATTTAGGATATTAGGTTTTTGGGGTATAACAGTCTTCTACATCTTTGAACTCTATGAATTCTTAAAATTTAATGCTTTTAATGGATTCTTCCAACATATCTCTTTATAAAACAGATCAATGATCAAGAAAACTTAGATTGATCTAAGAAATAACAAAATTGGAAGAGTTGTGAAAATGAAAATGACTATAGTGAGAGTAATAAACATTTCCTTATAGTAAAAATGAATTTTAAATAAAACTTATTACTTCTTTTTGTTCGTTGGGACAGAATAAATTCATCGCTAACTTCGCATGCTTTCTTGTAGTGCAAAAACTAAGTTTTAGCTGTAGAAAATTGAAACTACCCCGTTCCTTTGGGACAATTTTATTGGATTTAGGACAATATTAAAGTAATTACCCTAATCAAATAAGTTACCCATAAACAACCCAAAATTAAATCAATTTAAAATGTATTAGCTAGAAATTATTGAATTTAAAAAATATGGTTTAAAATTAATTTAAGTAGTTGGGAAATAAAGATAATTTGTTTTATTAAAATTAAAGGAAGGCACAATAGAATATAGAAAAACAAATGGGCATTTTTTAAAAGTGATATCTCAAGAAAAAAGACATTTCTAATAACTTCTTGGTCTTTTAATTTTCTTAAAAAAAGCCTTCCCAAATTATATATATTATAATATTTAAAAAACATAAACTCCTTGTTACCATATTATTAATTTTCTCAACTCAAAACTTTATAGGTTAAATTAATCGTATATATTACATATTAACATATCCTTTGATAGTTAGAGTTGTTCATGGAAAAAAAGAAATATCCTTTGATGATAAGTGCTCGAGACAGAGTTGAAACGCATATTAATTAATTTTCTTATTGTGTACAAATTTTTTTTTGACTAGATATTGTAGTATCTATTATGTTTTCTTTGACCAAAAAATAAAAATCTATTAAAATATTCTTTAGTTATATAACAAATTGAAATGGTCCCTTTTATAAAAAGAAACACATAAACCCATTAAAAATATTATATAAAAATACAGTTACTAAATAGATTTATTAAGCAGATAACGAAGAAATGCAAGATAAAATTAAGAATTACAGAAATAAATATTTTTACTTAGTAAGATATTCTTTTACATAAAAAAAATGAATTTGGTTTTTTGCCAATGTAGTTTGATGATATTTCCCTTTTTAAGCTGCCTTGCAGCTTTAAGACTGGCCCACCCATTTCCAATAATATAATCTTCTCCCATGTTAACCCAATATGATTTGTTACCGTCCACAATTTCTACTTGAATACCTTTTCGAGGAATTGGAACGCCCGTGATTTTTGTTATGCTCTCAATCTTTTTTTTGGCAAACGCAAACGATTATTATTGGAAAGATCGCTTTCGGTTAGTATTTTTTCTATCATCAAATCCTGACTCATTTTACTAAACTTTGAAGTGTCTTAGAAGTATAGCTAAGATGTTTTCAAAAATAAAATATTTTTGTGGAGTTTGAAGAGTTCAACCCATTTCTATATATAGGCCAAAATCAAGTTCCTTAGCTTTTATGTTTATTTGAACAGTTTTAATTTTATTAAAACCAACTCTCTAAATTTAGTAAATGTTGTTGGTAAGTTAGCTTATTATTAATTTTCAGAATCTACAACTTTATAGGCGTATTCATATATATATTAATTATGCTAAATTGTATTTATAACAAACTTATTTTTTTTGCTTTAAGAGGAAAAGTCTTCAAAAACTAAATCTATTATAATATCTAAGTAACATAAGTTATATTAAGATTCTCTTTTTCTGAAACTCTCTAAAAGTTGTGCATTATCTCTTTGATAACTAAGATTTCTTTACGTTTTACAATAATAACTCCAATAACTTTTGACACTACTATTTTTGAATTTTAAAATTGCTATATCTTTTTATAGCAAATTTGCAAATACAACAAATGAAAAAATAATTAAGAAACTAGCCTAAACAAAATAAATCCGTAACACCCGTATTCGGAAATGGGCGGTATCGATCAACACCAGCATTTTTTGGTTAGACCGGTTTGATTTTAGTTGCGAAATTGATTGGGGTTGGGTTGGTTTGACCCTAGGTTGCGATCTAAAAGAGAAAATGGTCGACTTTGTTCTCATACAGCCGCTTTTAGAAGTTGAGAAAAAGAACTGTGAAGTGTGAGGGTGATTCGAGTGAGTTTTGGAGAGTTCTAGTGAGATTAGGAGGCTTGTTCTTGCTTGAGTAGACTAGAGGAGGCAATATCCGTGGTTGTTGGTGTTAGAAGAGTCAGATCCTTCCTTGTTCTCCCTTGTTTTCGTTCCTTTTTATTCATTTAAATGGTGAGTGCATGACCAAGGCTTATCTAAGCAGTTTGATCAGTGTTTTGAGTGTTTTGATGATTGTTTGATTGATTTCTTTGCTTGATTGGTTGTTTTCATGTTGTATGAACCCTGTGAAACCGCTTGGAGACTCGCTCGTGGTTTGGGAGTGATTAGGAGTGGAGATCCAGTGAGAAAACAAAACTGGAGTGTCTGCAGACTGTCGGTGTTGATCGACACCAGTGGTGGGTGTCGCTTGACACCAACATTTTTTTTCTGCGAGGATAGTTGCGACTCGTTTACAAGAACATTGCTAGCGAATCCCTCGTAAAATTGTGAGGGAAACCAATCCTCCTCGTAAATCTACAACAAATTTGAAACGGATTTGCAGGACTGTATTCCTAGCAATACTTGTGAGAGATATGCGATGTTTTTACAAGTGCCATTGCAAATCAGTTGCAAATGGAGATAATAAATTTTAACAAAATACTTGTAAAATTTAATTGAATTCAATTTTTTTGAGTTTCTTAATATTATTGTTGGTTGTTTTATTGAGACAATACTGTGAGTAAAGAACATTTCCTTATAGTAAAAAGGTAATTTAACTAAAACTTAGTACTCCTTTTTGTTGGATTTTAAAAAACTAGATCTTCTCATTTTGCAATAGAAAGGCTACGATTAGTAGCAAGTCCCTCTCACATCTGTCGCAATAACATTTGGAAGGCATTTGCGTGGGAACTGCGATGTATAAGGCTTTAGGGTAAAGGCTTTAGGGTAAAGGGTTTAAGGTTATAGGGTTTCGGGTTTTAAGGTTTAGGATGTTAGGTTTTAAGGGGTTAAGGATTCATAAGATGTATTTCAGTCTTCTGCATCTTTAAACTCTGTGAATACTTAAAATTTAATGCTTTTAATTTATTCTTCCAACATATCTCTGTATAAAATGGATCAATGATCAAGAAGATTTAGATTGATCTAAGAAATAACAAAATTGGTATTTGATGAGTTTTGAACATGGAAATGACTATAGTGAGAGTAATAAACTTTTCCTTATAGTAAAAAAGGTATTATAACTAAAACTTATTACTTCTTTTTGTTTGTTGCGACGGAATAAATTCATCGCTAACTTCGCATGCTTTCTTGTAGTGGAAAAACTAATTTTTAGTTGTAGAAAATTATAACTACACCTGTCCCTTTGGGACAGTTTTATTGGATTTGGGACAATATTAAATCAATTACCCAAATCAAATAAGTTACCCAAATTAAATCATTTAAAATGTATTAGCTAAAAATTAAAGAATTTAAAAATTATGTTTTTAATTAATTTAAGTAATTGGGATTTGGGAAATAAAGATAAAGTTTTCATTAAAATTAAAGGAAGGCAGAATTGAATAAAGAAAAACAAATGGGCATTTTTTATAAGTGATATCTCAAAAAAATAAAGATATTTATAATAACTTCTTGGTCTTTTAATTTTCTTAATAAAAAACCTTCCCAAATTAAATACATTATAATATTTAAGAAACATAAACTCCTAGTTAGCATATTATTAATTTTCTTAGATCAAAACTTTATAGGTTAAATTAATCGTATAAAGTAGTATCTATATTAACATTTTTGCAGAAGGTTTTGAAATAAATCCTGGGTTTCACACTGATTTACAACCAATGCCACTGCCAATTAATTCATTTAAACTGAAAACGTTTGTAAAAAACAACAGCCATCATCTTTGGTTTCAACAAAATCGGCCCATCTCTTTGTGATGACATATATAATTAATTATGGGACCGATACATTAGGAAAATCAAAGCCAATTGCCCATTCATATATGAAACTACAAATAAACATTCACGATTAATCTCTATTTATTATGGAATCACACTTTATGGAAAGCTCACCAATGATTTACAAAACCGTGTAGCTATGATTTAGGAGAATCAATTTTAAATCCACAAAATGTCAAACACAATTAAATATCACCGAGAATATAGCTAGATTACTATCGGATTGAACTAATTTTATTTTCTTATAGAAACTTATTATATCAAAACAATAGAATCAAATCAACTTTGATTCGTATATTCCACAGATTTCGCTTTTCATAAAAATCCTATATTCATCTTTCAAATACGATCTTAACAACCAAACATACTCTATGCTCTACTATATATATGACGCTATGAATAGAAAACCACATCACCCTCACAATCAAACATACCACGGCTCATTGAAATGGCAGCGTCATTTGCTTTCCTCAAGGATGTTAGGCCATACAAAACGGCATGGCGAGTTCAGGTTAAGATGCTACATTCATGGCGTCACTACACCCAAAACACAGGGGAAACATTAGAGATGGTACTCAATGAATTGGTAAGGAAGTTGCTAATTAAAAAAAAATCATGCTTCAATGTTATACTGTCGTCTCTGTCATTTTAATAATACTTAATGCATTTATAAGGTAAGAAGATACACGCTAGCGTGAGGAAGGATTTGGTGAACCTTTATGTGAACAGGCTGCATGTTGATGACTGGGTTTTCATTGAAAACTTCGGTCTTAGCTATGCCACCGGCCAATTCAGACCAACCAGCCATCTCTATAAGATGGCTTTCATCCCTGGGACTGTAGTCATGCATTGTGACCCCAAATCTGATTCTTCCTTTCTGTCGTTGGCAAAGTTTCAGAAGATACAAAGTGGAGAACTCAATTCACATATGTTGGTTGGTAAGTTTCTCTTTATATGTCACTGCATTTATATAGTCTCTTAGTTAAGCATCAACAAACGATGTAATAACAAATCTATTTAACCCGCAAGTGTACCTCTTTTATGATGCAGATGTAATTGGCCAGATAATAACTATTGGAGAACTTGAGAACCTCGAGGCTAACAACAAACCAACTTGCAAAATCGATTTCGAAATAAGAGACGAAAAGTGAGCATTATTTTTAGATTTACATACTCTTTATATTCTAACAATATATTATTATGCTCCGACTTTGTTATCATTAAAGTTTGCATTATTATTGATGATAACAGTGATGAAAGGATGGCGTGTACTTTGTGGGGAACCTTGGCTGAGCAGGTACATAGAGCTTGCGAAAATTCTGATGGAAGCAATGTCATTGTCATCCTCAGATTTGTGAAAATTAAAGCTTACAAGGGTAACTTGATGTTTAAGCTAAATACTACTCACAAGATCGACTACTCTGTATGCTATAACGTTTACATAACCAATGAATACTTCAGGTGTAAGGAGTGTAACAAATTCCTATGATACTTCACAAGTGTTTGTCAACTCTCCCTTCCCTGAAGTTGACTCATTCAGAGAATCGTATACTTTCTAAACTTATCTACTATATTTATCATCCCCTTATAACTCTGCAATTTACAATGTTTAACCGCAAAAATTTAACCATACTAACTTAACAACAATTAGGCTACCTACGGATGGTTTGGTATTGGTATCCCGAGAAAGGCGTCAAGAATGGAGTTGGTTGTGGTAAACAATGAGGATTACCAAGATGTCCCCAGGAGTACTATTGAGGAAATAAAGAATTCCCTAGAGGTAAAATAATATTAACTTTTACTCTTTTTGCAATAGTTCGTATATATTTGATAACTTCATTCATTCACAGGTTTATTAGGGCTAGACTACTATGTACAATCTATGGAATTGATACAGACTGGACATGGTACTACATAAGTTGTAGGTCATGCAATAAGAAAGTTAACCACATCCATTCTGGTGTACATGGAGTTAATAACAAAGGCGTCAAACCAAGGTTCTGGTGTGATACCTGCAAGAGTGTTGTTACAAATATCGTAGCACGGTATATTTGTCTCTATGTTTGCTATTATTAACATATCATACTAGATTTTTAGGTAAATTTTATTGTAGAACAAAATTTTATAGACATTTTTTCTACATGTTTATGCTTTACGCTAATGTCATGGACACCACTGGGGAGATGAAATTGTTACTGTTTGACTCTATTTGCACGGAGATAATAGGGCAGTCTGCTCCATCTGTTCTTGACGGCTCTCTTGATGAGGTTAATTACTACCAGAGATAATACGCTTAAAGTCATAGATAAGTGGTACAATTGTCAATGTGTTACTAATCAATCTTTGTTCTTTCTAATGTTCAGATTGAGGATCCAAACAATTTGCCAGATCCCCTAAACAATCTTATTGGGAAAACTTTTCTGTTTCTGGTGTGTATCGAGAGGGAAAATATATGGGATGGGAAAGAAATCTACAGGGTTTCTAAGGCTCTGTTGAAGCATGGTGTACTACCAGAAGAGTTATTGGAGTATTCTACAGAAATGTTCAGAGAAACTTCCATTGAATCTGCAGACAAGGTTATATTCATATAACTATTCACTACAACAACTCTATCTTCAATGTTAATTTATTATAAAAACCAATGTTTAGTTATACATTCTATTTATACTAATTACTAGAAACGGATCCGCGCTACAGCGCGGTGGAATATTATAATATATGCCATTAATAATAGATTGTAATATATTAAATTTATATTTTTGCATTCGACTACGATGAATTATAATAAGATTGTGCAATGAGGTTAGATAAAATAGTAGAAGGAAAAAAGCAAGTGAAAATGGTAATATAATGAGTTTTGATTTAATATAAAATAATATAAAATTTAACAGCCTAAAACGATATGTAATTCAATTTGATCATTTTAGTAGTATAAAAAATAATAATATAGATACAATATTACATTTGGAAAATTACATACTCACAATGTATGTTGTGACAAATCAACCCGCAAAAACCCGTGTAATCAAATTCATAATTGATTTTGATAGTTGTAATCAACTAAAATATATGAAAAAAAAATTTATATACCTATATCACATAAAAACATATGAGTTTGAAAAATTTACAATATTTTTGATGTTCCTCTAAAAGAATTGTAAGGGTTTGTAAGGGTTCCTAGCGCTATATTCTTTTCTACTAATATAGAGATTTCATATGATTTTTTTTTAAAAATTCTAGCTTAATATATTATAATATGAGAATAAATGTAGTAATTTAATGGAAAAAAGATGGCTGACTACACCAACTATAGAGTAATGCATGGTCACACATGCCAAGTATCATATTGTATACTCAACTACACGAAGTAGATGTATTGCATCGCCACATGCATCAACTATACAACGTCATGTAGTCAACACCATATACATAAAATTCTGGTACACCGGTCAACTGACTTTGGCGTTGACCGGTGTTGACCGTTTTTGACCCAAAAAAAATTCCAAATTTTTTTATATAATTTTATTTTTATTGTTGAAAAAACTAAAAACTGTAATTATTTTATAATGAATTGTTATGGTTTTGTATACTTTAAAAAATATAATCTTAGGAAAAAATTGTAACAATAATTTTTGTATTTAAGTAAATCACATAATAAGTTAATGGTTTTGATTGACAATGTAAAAATAAGCAATTCCTTACTAATTCATAAGATTTTCCAGTTTTAATTTAGATTCTAATATCTTGAGTTATTTTACTATTAGTTTAGCTCTAAATTTAAAATTAACTAATTATAATAAGAATGAATACATTAAAGATTTAAACAAAACTAGTGTTTAGATATTGAATATATAAAAACAAAATCAATATTTTTTTAGGGTTTTGTATAATGAAAAGTATATAATCTTAGGAAGAAAATTGCTATGATTATTTTTTATTTAAATAAATCAAATAATAAGTTAATATTTTTATTAACAATATAAAAATAAGTAATTCCCTTACTAATTCACATAATTTTTCTAGTTTTAATTTAGATTTTAGTATCTTGAATTATTCTACTATCTTGAATTTTTCTAGTTTTAATTTAGATTTTAATATCTTGAATTAAATACAAAATTATCGTTGTCATTTTCTTCCTAAGATTATATTTTTAATAATATAATATCTTGAAATTGTTTGTAGTTTTGTATAATTAAAAATTAAAAATTCATAATTAATTACAGTTTTTAGTTTTTATAACAATAAAAATAAAATTATATAAAAAAAAGTTTGGAATTTTTTTTTTGGTCAGAAACGGTCAACGCCGGAGTCAACACCGGTCAACGCCAGAGTCAGTTGACCGGTGTAACAGAATTTTATGTCTATGGTGTTGACTACATGACGTTGTATAGTTGATGCATGCAGCCATGCAATACATCTAGTTCGTGTAGTTGAGTATACAATATGATACTTGGCATGTGTGACCATGCATTCCTCTATAGTTGGTGTAGCCAGCCATCTTTTTTTCTAATTTAATTCTGGTTGGCGTTTAATTATATCTAAAACTACATGGGACTTTTGGTTAAAAAAAAAAAAAAACTACATGGGGCTATATATGTTAGGCCCGTTTATAATTTCTTGTAGCATATTGGGGGCTATTTGTAATTTTTTAAGATGCTTTTTCTTCGACAATGTAGTATAAATGCAGAAACTTAATCAACAATTTCCACGTTTCTTATTAATCTTTGATTTCTCCCTTGCTTTCTTAACGATTGAATATACTCTGATGTTTAAGTCTTTTAAACCATTTCTTCTAATTATATTATGCTAAAACCAAAGAAACTTCATAATATAACCCCAATTTAGATCCGGAAACTTTTTTCACCACGAAGATGCATATGTGTTGAAGATTTCTGTATATTTGTGTAAAGAATTTTGTTTAAGGGAAATTAACATATTTTAAAAATTCATATTTGCATATTTTAAGATAGATAATTAAATCGTAACCATTAAGATTTCATAGTTAGAATATAATCACAAAGATTGCAGAATAGTTTACTGATTAGAATATTTTGTGGAGATTGATATCTTGTTATGGTAATATTCAACATAATTTCCTAAAAATGGGCATATGTTAATCACCACTATTATTATTATATTTGCCATTATTATAGATTACTATAATATATGCATATATCGTTAATGTGATTTTCTAAAATAGTGGACAATTTTTCCGTCGCATAAACCGCTAACCTGCATTTAAAACTTAATATACCATGTTCGTAAGTAAATACTTAATATAGTTAGTTATATCCATATCCGATTTTTTTAACCCAATTGAAAATTTGAAAGTATCCATTACATCAATTTCGGGTATTTTGGGATAGATTTTAATTTTGACCCGACCCATTTCATTTTTGTACTTCTCTTTTACTAATATAGGGATGAAAATCTCAGGGCATTCTCATGTTGGAAAATACTCAAGGAACACCAGATTCTATGACTCCTTCTTCTAAGCGTGTTTATGGTTCTGTGGACCAAGCATCTACTTCTAAGAAGTTGTGTATTGAACCAATAGACTTGGAAAAGGTAAATCCTGATTTTAAAAATGAAGCAGAACTGAAAAAGGGCAGTGTTGAATCAAAGACTGAAGGTGTGATTGAAACAAAAGCGGATCGTGGTAAAAATGTGGGCGAAACAATCGGAACCACTATTGACAAAGCAGACAATGCTGGTCCAAGAGCTATGGTTGGAGTGAAGGTCAAGATTGAGAAGAAGTAGGGGTCCAGCAGTCACTATTGTATGCTTCAAATAAAGCCTTCCTTGGTTATTTAAATCTGTTTTTTACTTTCAAACTCATTTTCAATTCCTTTGTTTGAATAAGTGTAGTTTAGCTACACTCCTATTTTATGTTCAAGTTTCTTAATAAAGTTTCCATATTCTTATTTTCTGTGACTTCAATAATATATTACTAGAGATGTATTAAGCTTCTAAACACTTCTTCTATTTCAAAGTGTTTAATGTGTCTAAATGTTTAATCACCCAAAAAAATATATTTAAACATTAAAGGAAACCAAGATTTTTACCTTTTTATTCGATGTCTATAGCCTATATCTTCATTGTAACCCTTCTTCTTCAAATCTGAAATTTAAAGAGGAAAATATCAAATACATCCGGAACTAATTTATACTACTCTCGAGAACTAATACACAACATTTTTCATCTTACATAATCTGAATTACTAAATTACATATGCAACACTAATTTTGAATCATCTCACTCTCGGTACGTGTTTTTCTGCTTCTTTTCTCATATTCTAAAAAATGCAGAACTTATGGATTTCATGATTTTAAAAGGCACAAAGTAGTAAGCCTGTAATTTTTCAAACAGAATCCATATTAACTTTGCCAAACAGACAATACCTTCAAACACTAGCAATCGTATGCTGCTAGACACAAACACCACATAACAACTGTCCTGCATAATAATTGAAAGCAAAATCCCGTTAGCATTTATATAAGATATATTATTTTCTTTTATTTTGCCTGAGAATCTTTTAAAACCAGCACTTTGTTATATAATTATATGGATATTTTAAAGAATACAGAGAAGAATATGGTCTCTGCTATCTAAAATCAAGGAGAAATTAACTACTGCAAATCTATAGTCATTACGACCTGCTGCTAAAATAACACATCTCAAACAAATTGCTATTCCTAAAATGTTCTAGAGAGCAACTTTCTGACCAGCTCAACGATGAAGGAAAATAAGAAAAACAAAAAACCAAGTGATGAGTCTCAGCACAAATCTGCTAAAAGAATGAGACTTACACAACCTCCAACTAATCATACTCAACCAACAACATCTACATTGGCTACACCTACCGGGAATGTCACACTTTAAAATGCTTTCAATAAAGTCCTTCGCGATATTACCAACCTGAGTGGGAGCAACAATCGGCTGGATGTCACACAATCCTCTATTCACCATCCATCTCCTGCAACACACATCACACTAGGTTATTGTTTTTTACAATTTCACCAGACTTTTTCCTGTTCTCATTTTAGTATTGATTAGTATATGAAGCGCTTATTTCAAACTGAAATAAATCTTTTACTTCCCAGTTTCAGGCTCAAACTTATCCACGTCTTCATTCGACCATCATGTTAGCTTAAATGCCAACAATTTTGTTACCCCTGTGCTTCAAAACATAACCAATATAGGGTACCATGCTACTCCCGTTGATACCATAGCTACACTGTCTGCCAAACACAACTCACCTGTAGTGAATGAAAGTGAGGTTGAGTTTGACTAATTTGCTGAGTGGTATTAAAACTCACTTTCAACCCATTCCATATATAACATACACACATGGTCATTCAATCTACAGCAAATCGCAGAGGTTTGGGGAGATCTTGCCTTACCAATGTCAATACACGTGTAAACCTCAGCAAAGGTAACAAGTTGCCTAGGAAAAATCTGTCTCAAGCTTTTGAAACTGCATCTGTCTCTACTGATTGCCAAGGTAAGATTTTACTTTTTCATGCACTTCAATTTTAATACAAATTAAGTACAAATGTCTTAACAATCATGCTAACTTTGTAAAACGTATTGAATAAATAGGTCCAGGCTTAAGAGATGACCTCAATGACAGTAGCACAGAATCTGAGGAAATTTACCAAGATATTGAAAACGATATATTCAATGAAAGTGAATCAGATGTCGAACAA